GTGGTAGCCCGGAGGCCGCCGCGCCGAGGAGCAGCCTTCCCGCCTTCCCGCCTCGGACAGTTGACACAGAGCTCGCGAGTTGGTCTGGGGTTTCCGGAGGGAGCGGTGACAGCAGAGGGACTTGAATTGGCCGGAGGCGGCTGGAGCTGTACCTGTAGGGAGTTGCGGAGGAGGAATCCGGGGCTGGGCGAGCGCGGGAGAGCAGGGCTCAAAGGATGAGGGCGCGAGAAGCAGGAGGGCGGCCCTTGTATCCCCGGGCGGCTGACCACCTTCCTTCAGTTATTCACTCCACAAACATCTACTGAGCTTCCCCGCTGTCTCAAGCACTGTGCAAAGTTCTGAGACTAAAGGGTGACATCACCTTATTATCCCTGCCCCCACAGCTCGAAGGTAATTACACGTGAAAAATGTTATGGTCGTCAGGGAAGCACAAAAAGGGGGCCAAGTCAAGTGTGTGAGTTGTGTTAGAAAGGAGTGGATCAGAGAGCCGCTGTGCTTCTCCGGCACAGATTGCTTCTCGTTTCCGTTCCTCTACTTTTTAATTGGTTATTTAGTACTTACTGCGCTGGGCAGAGCTCCATGATTTCTTCTCTCAGGAAACTTGCTGTCTAGTGGGCCTGGGAAGAATCGTAGATATTGGCCAGGTAAAGAGAAATGGAAGACTGTAGAGGCAGAACAGTGAGGCAAGGCAAAGACTTGCGGAAGACAACTAACTGCGTACTGCAGAAAATTCGTTCTGGTTGGAGTATGCAGTTGTCTGAGAGGAAAGAGACCTGGGGAGGGTGTGGATTCCTTACCTTGGAGAGGTAGGAAATTTCAGATTACAGTGACAACGTAGCTGAGTATCACATTCCCTTTGTAGGCTTTGGATTCCCCCGTGGTCACACTAACTTATTACTTTCTTATTTATTGATTTCTCCAAGAGATTTTTTTTTTTTCTTGCCCAGCAACCACTTTTCTATCAGATAATTGACAGAATCAGATGTTATAGACCAAGAGAGGCCCACATTACCTTTTGACTTCGGCCATTTCTAAAGGTCCCCAGGTCAAAATAGCATATTTATTATTGCTTTAGAAAATATACCCTCTGGGAAATTTTCACAGGAAAAATCTCACTGGGAAGATTTATGGATTATAAATAGGTAATCGATGTTTGTAGTGCAGGTATCAATCTTAAGGATAACTTATGTATGGGGAAACTTTGGACCTTTTTCAGATTTGGAAGAATAATGCATAATGTATCAGCAAGTCCACACAGGGTTCTTCAAACTTAGGTACAGTTTTGGAAAAATTACATGCTGATGCCAAAACCATCCAATTTGGTTTTCCAAGATGTACTTTACAATGCAGGTCTATGAATACCTTAAAAGTGGAGATGAACAAATGAAAGATCAAATAAGCAAATAATTGAAACTTCCCGGTTTGTATTATTATTGTTATTTTTTTCTTATCCTGGCACTGGGGATTGAACCCAGGGCCTTGGGCATGTTCAGCAAGCTCTGCATTATTGAGCTGTACCCTGAACCCTTTCTAAAATTTTATTTTCAAACAGGATCTCACTAAGTTGCCCAAGCTGGTATTGAACACACAGCCTTCCTCCCTCAGGCTCCT